ATATTTGTCATACAACAAGTGACACGTACCTCACGTGACTCACTACATAATTAACAGCTTTTATTTAATAACAACTTTTATTTATTTGTTTTTCATATTTTTCAGTTGTGCACAACTTTTAAATATTTATTTTTCAAGTATTAAGAACTTTTATTTTCAGCTTTTATTTTGAAAAGCAACACACAGTTGTTGTAAACGTGCACAATTAAGCCAGTGAGGGCTGCTGGAGCCGAGTGGAGGCTCACTTTACCTCAGTGCGTTACCTGCGTGGGAACTCCCCACCATGTTTTCACATGAACTAAACTTCTAAAGCACGACAACAACGAGAGAACGGTCAAAACTATCGTGACCTACAATAAACGTACTTCAATAATATGCATAAGTGAAAACATAACATACTTTATAAGTACAATAAATCATATTTCTTTGTCAAACATTGCAAAGACACGTTACCTCATCAATAATCGCTATGGTTACCCATAGTCAATCAGTGTTCGCCGCCCACAAACGCCTATTCGCCAGAAACGCCCACTTTTGGTCTGCAGAGAACCCCTTCTCGAAAAATAGCTGCAAGGAGCTGAAGGAAGCTGAAATTAGCTCAAAGAAGCTGAAAAAAGCTGCAGCAGAAGAAAAGCTGAAACGAGCAAAAGGTTATAAACGGCTCAGATGGTTTTGTAATCTGTGAAGAGAACTCCATTCATTTTCCACGAGAAAAACATGGCCCATAAAGATAAATATCTGAGTAACAACTGCGCAAATACCAAAAGTCAGCAGGAACGTCCAGAATGAACTGAACGTTTTGATACGAGTTGCTGAAATAGAACAGCAATCGTAGAACGAGGTATGTACCGAAATGCGTACGGAAGAAAAATGGATCTCTGTGAGAAGGATTTAGAAACATTCACACAAACATGATTATGCTTCAAATATGGAATCAGAAAAATATTGGGCTGTTGCAAATGCTGTTCACCGACTAGCCTCCCAACGGTCACAGCCAAGTGAGACGGTATCTTTGGGTCAACAAAAGTAGCAAAGTGCAACGCAAACATGGTCTATTCTACCTCCAGACTATGACTGTGGTGAAACGACACAAAATCAAAGGGTTTTGTTGTTTCTCTTCTCCACAGGTCCATGTGAAGAGTGAGAGCCTCGCCATCAAGATCTCTCAAGAAATCAACTACGCCAAGAGTCTTTACTACGAGCAGCAGCTCATGCTTCCCACCGACGAAAATGAGGACTGCTTGCTACTTGAATCATGATCCGGACTTCTTTAGGCTCACTGAGATGGTTTTCTAAGAGGACTGAAGCTTTCTATTGTTGACAGGCTGCTGTGGAAGGAATGCACCAAGAAAACTAGATGTTTGATTTTCTGAAATAATCTGGCTGTTTGTTTCATGATGGAGGTGGTAGCAGGGTCAAATATCGCCTATCCGTTCCATTTAGGAATGAATAGAAATGTAAATAAAATGCTCCACAGCAATAGTACAGATCACATGTAAATATTGTGAGATATTAAAAATACAAATTCACTAAATGAACTAACAAACGGCTTTTACATCTATATATTTTGTGTATAAGAAACGTTCATTAGAGTTCAGGAGAATTCATCGCACACAAAGAGGTGAAGGACCTTCACCCCTTCCCACATAAAAACCTCCTCCCTTGTGTTGGGGTAGACTATAGAATGGATGATTTATGAATTATTACTAATTCACAATTTACCAAACTTTGGGGCACCACCCTCATAAAGGGAAAACTACAGATCTATGGTTTATAGTATCAATCTCAATAAATCACTTCAAACCATGAGTTATTTTCTTTGGAGTTATGTCATAAATATATTATTATTATTATTATAACACACGACTGAATTAAGTTTATCATCGTTTATGTGATGTTTATTGAAAGATCGTATTACAGTAACAAGTTATGGTGAATATGAATAGTGAAAAATTAATCTTGAAACAAACATGATGTATATGGATAAAACTGTATGACAGGCAAAATTGAAAGCTTTGTTCTATTATACATTGAGGGGCAGGTTTTAACTGGAATGAATAAGATGAAAAGGAAAGTTGTAAACTTGAAACTTATCAAAGACTTGTTGAATTGGGACTGCTGGTTCTATCTTGAAGGCACCATGGTCACCAGTGAGGACGTATTTGTCCTACAGAGCTGTAGATCTGTTTCATTTCCTACACTAGATACCAGATAGGTGAATGACCAGGTCCAGTAGATGAAGACCTCCCCAGGTTACCTGTCTGGCCGTCTACCTGGCTGTTAAGAGACGGGTGTCTCAGCGGTTTGTTCAGGTAGTAAGCTGGATCTTGGTTCTTCAACAGATGGGTGCTCAGGCTGAAGACTTCAGTTCAGAAGAGTGTCTGGCTCTGCAGCCTCAGAGGTTCTGGAGTGGTCCAATTCTTGGAGAGCATGATCAAAACGGTGGCGTTAACGTAAAGTTATGCCTAGCTTCACTTTATTACTGTGCTGAATCAAACCAGAAGTTTCTGGTTGGCAGCTTCTTACTTTTTCTGTTTCCCTCATTTTCCTCTGTCGTGTTTTTCTCTCAATCTTTGCTTTATTTTTCTGCTCTCCCAAGCATGAGCGGCAGGTTTTAAAATTAAAGAGAGCCTGGCTTTAAAAAGGTTTATCCAATCAAAGAGACTTTAAATAATGGTGGGAATCCTTAGTGGTGATCTGCCATTTACATTAGTTTACACATCTCAAAAAGAGATGGGAAGGATTCAACTTCAGAACTTCTGTTTGCCTCAGTTTAAATTAATAAGACAAACACTGATGACTTTAACTTTGATATCAAATAGTCATTGGTTAAAGAAACTCGTTGCATGCTTATTGCCAATAATTAAGAAAACCAAACATTTCTAATTAAAAGTAGTCTAAAGTACTGATAGAGAAAAAAATAGTGTAAACCAAAAGGAAATAATGAACATGAAAACTTTTAGTTCTAAGAAATTGTTGGTTATTACTTTGTGCTAGATTGGGGACTGTAAGATTGTGGCAGGAGGGAGTGTGACCAGACCGCATCGGATGGTTGTGTGTAGAATGACTGTTGTTGTGAAGAAGAGGAAAAGCGTAAAATCAGAGAAGACCGAATGGTAGAAGCTGAAGAAGAAAGAATGTTGTTTGGAATTCAGAGAGGAGCTGTTAAAAGCTCTGTGGGATAAGAAAGAGCTTCCAAATGACTGGGCTACTACAGCAACAGTAATTAGAGGCAGGTAGGAAGGTACTTAGTGTGTCATCTGGACAGAATGGATGATGAGGAAAATTGGTTTGAAAGGACAGAAAAAAGAAACCAACACAGAACGGCAGGTAAACCTGGACCTGGTCCACGTGTACTTTCTATTAGAAGAAAGACAAAAATATGTCACGGATAGAAATGATTACAAATACTAAACAGGTAGAAAAACAAAACTGGTAAAGACAGCAGCAGAGTGAAGAAATGTCGCCAGTTTGTCCTCCCAACATTCTAAGCCTATAGCAGAATAACTAAGGGACAGCTCAGGAAAACCAAGCCAACACTAGGATTTATCAGAAAGGAAAGTCTTAAACCTAAGCTTAAAAGTAAACAATGCGTCACCTCACGGACAGAAACTGGAAGTTGGTTCCACAAGAGAGGAGCCTGATAAGTTTGCAGATGATACAGCAGTGGTTGGATGCTTCATAAACGATGAGAGGTCTGGCTACAGGCAGGAGGTGGAACACCTGGAGAGCTTGTGCAGTAATCACAACCGTCACATCATTGTGAAGAAGACAGAGATGATTGTGGATTCCAGAAGGAGTAAACGCACCTCCCCGGCCCCACTCATAAACATAGGAGGATCTGCAGTGGAAGTGGTCTCCAGCTACAAGTACTTCAGGGTGCACATGAATGACAACCTCACCTGGAGCAACAACACCACCAGCCTAATCAAGAAAGCACATCAGAGACTCTACTTCCTCAGGCAGCTGAGACGAGCTGGTCTGGGAAGCTCAGTCCTCACCTCCTTCTACAGGTGTGCAGTGGAGAACATCCTGTGCTCCAGCATCAACGTGTGGCATGGAGGCTGCACAGCTGCAGAAAGAAAAGCTTTGCAGAGAGTAGTGAAGGCTGCACAGAAGACTGTTGGAGTCAGTCTCCCCACCATCACAGACATTTACACCACCAGATGCAGGAAGAGGGACACCTGCATCATGAAGGACCCCACTCACAAGAGAGGACAGTCTCAACATTGAAGTCTACAGGAAACCAACCCACACAGATCATTCTGTTTGACTCTCACCATCCACTGAAACACAAACTCTCTGTCATCAGAACTCTCCAGCACTGGGCTGAACGTGTCCCCACAAAGACAGAAGGGAAGGAAAAGAAACACAAATGCATCAAAAAAGCTCTCCAAACATGTGGATATGCTAACTAGGCCTATGGCAAGTCAATGAGGAAATCTACAAAACATACCACGGAACAAAACCAGGAGAAGAACGGAAGGAAAAACATTGTCATACCTTATGTTGCTGGAGTCCCAGGTGAAAATATATTGTACTTAAGTATATTTTACGTAGGCTTCATTTTATCGGAATACATTAGAAATACATTATAATGGCAGCACGATGGCTCACAGCAAGAAGGTCCTGGGTTCAATCCCAAGTTGGCCCTGGGGTCTTTCTGTGTGGAGTTTGCATGTTCTTCTCATGCTTGCATGGATTTTCTCCGGGTACTCCGGTTTCCTCCCACAGACCAAAAACATGCATGTTAGACTGCCTTCAGTCCAGGCCTCCCTTGCAAAAGAGATTTGTGATCTCAATGGGATTTGCCTGGTTAAATAAAGGTTAACAAATAATATGTTCTTAAGTGAATGTACTTATTAGGATTACATTAAAAATGTATAAGAAATAGATTTATAATCTTCTTGTACAAGATGACAATCTTCCTCATTCTGGGGCTCCATGCAAGATCTTGCCTCGTGGGGTAAGGATGATTCTGAGAAAGGTCAGGAATCAGCCCAGAACTACACGGGAGGACCTGGTCAATGACCTGAAGAGAGCTGGGACCACAGTCTCAAAGAGGACCATTAGTAGCACACTACACTCATGGTTTAAGATCCTACAGGGCACGCATGTTCCCCCTGCTCACGCCAGCACATGTCCAGGCCCGTTTGTAGTTCACCAATGATCATCTGGATGATCCAGAAGGGGCATGGGAGAATGTCATGCGGCCAGATGAAACCAATAACCTCCTTCCCTCAGTAAGAACACTGAAGATGGGTCGTGGTTGCTGGGTCTTCCAGCATGACAATGACCTGAAACACACAACCAGGGCAACTAAGGAGTGTAAGACACATTTCAAGGTCCTGGAGTGGCCTAGCGAGTCTCCAGACCTGAACCCAGTAAAAAATCTTTGGATGGAGCTGAAACTCAATGTTGCCCATCAACAGCCCTGAAATCTGAAATATCTGGAGAAGATCTGTCTGGAGGAGTGGGCCAAAATCACTGCTGCAGTGTGTTCACACCTGGTCAAGATCTACAGGAAACGTCTGACCTCTGTAACTGCAAACAAAGTTTTCTGTACCAAACATTAAGTTCTGTTTTTCTATTGTATCAAATACTTATTTCATGCAATAAAATGCAAAAAAAAAAAAAGTATTTAAAATTATACATTAAGATTTTTAAAATGTTGTATTAGATTCTTAGACACACATACGCGTGCATACATACATATATACACATATGCGTGTGCATACATACATATACACATACACATACATACATACATATATACACACATATGCATGCATACATATATACACACATATGCAT